CTTCTCCAGGGTCAAACTTGGGTGGCTTTGGGGGGAAAATCCCTCTGGAATTCAGTGCTTTGGCTGTGTGAGAGGAGCTTCTTGTTGGCTTTCCCTTCCTGGACATGTAAAGATGGCTGCAAATCAAAGAGAGTGGACTTAGGTGGGATTTTGGGAAGGAATTCCTGGCTGGGAGGATGGGCAGGCCCTGGCACAGGTTCCCAGAGCAGCTGTGGCTGCCCCTGGATCCCTGAAGTCTCCAAGGCCAGGCTGGGACAATGGAATGGGATGAGCTTTGAGGTCCCTTCCTGCTCAAACCATTGTGGGATTCTGTGAACGATCCCAATCCCTCTGGCCTCCCAGAAGGTTTGTTGGTGTCTCCTCTTTTCCCTGAGCTGCTGCTGACTCTGGTGGCTGCTGGAGCCTGTGGCCATGCAGTCGGGGGTGTCTGGTGCCTCCTGCCCTCATCCCGGACCCCAGGGATGGCAGGGACAGCCTGGCCATGCCTGTGAGGGAAACTGGGCCTGTGATCCCACTGAAAACCTGGTGGCTCTTCATCTGCAAGGCTCCGAGGCCTTTTGCCATCAGCTCACATCTCGTGCACTGTGGGGAAGAGCTGAGCACCCTGTGTGTGGGATAAGTTCAATCCTGCCCCAAAAAGAGCCGGGAAATGGGTCATTCCTGGAGGAGGGGATGGGCTGAGCATTGCAGGTCACTGCTGTCCCATGGGAGGGGGACAGGCAGAGGACGTGGGGTCTCCAGCTCTGAGATCTGAAATTCTCCTGCAAGTGAGCAGGAGAACCATGTGGAATGAGAGCGAGCCCGCAGGAGCCTGCTAAATACTGCTCTGGGATTTGGAGGAATCCTAGATCTCTTCCCCTCTTCTTGGCCTGTTTGGAACACTGCCCTTGGAGAAAGGATCTGGGCCTGAGGGATCTGGGAAGAGCCCTCAGCCCTCTGTGGGAACCTGGGAGAGGTGGAGGCAGGAGAAGGGAGAGGTGCAGGACATTTGTGAGCACACCATCGTCTGTGTGGGGATGATAAAGGGATTTAGGGTGCCGTGCTTCAGTCTCCTCAGGAGAGCCCTGCACTTCCCATTTGCCTCTTCTTTCCAAGAGGCTTCCTTTTTCCTCCTTGGAAAGGCTCCAACCGTGGTGGGCAGCCACCAACCCATGGTGGGCAACCACCAACCCATGGTAGGCAACCACCAGCTGCTTCCATGGCAGGAGGTGTGGGGTGGGAGGAGACACCATTGGCAGGGGGAACACCTGGAGCGCTGGGGGCTCTGGGAGGCTCTGGGGGTGCTGCCTTCCTTCACCAGGGGACTCTGTGGGGGTCTTTGGGGTGGCCAAGCCAAGGACAACCCCCCCACTAACCCAGCCCTGCCTCCCACAGCTGCACCCCATGAGGATGGACCAGCGGATGCCACCGCTCATCCTGGAGGTGAGTGGCTTCCCTCATTCCTTCCCCTGCACCCTCCTGCTCCTGGTGGGAAGAGGACACACAGGAGTCCCCAAGAAACTGAACTGGGACATTCCCCACTCCCCACCCACTCCCTCCTTCCATCCCCGCTTCCAGCTGGGACACATTCCTCCCTCTCTGCCAGTCCCGTGTCAGTGTGTCATTGTCACCTCCTTGGCCTGTGTGTCCCCACGGGCTGTGACAGGAGTGACAACCACGAGCACCCGAGTGCCTGAGTGGCACTTGGTCCCCTCAGGTATGCTGATCTGACCTGAGGACTTTGTAGGATCAGGGAATTGTCTAATTTGGAGAAGCCCTCTAAGATCATCAGGTCCAACCATTCCCCAGCACTGCCAAGGCCACCACTGACCCATGTCCCCAGATGTCACATCCACACAGCTGTTAAATCCCTGCAGCAACGGGGACTCACAGCCAGGGCTGGACAATCCTTTTTGGGGAAGATTTTCCCACTCTCCACCCAGCCTGGGCCCGTTCCCTCTCCTCCTGTCCCTGTTCCCTGGGATAAGATCCCAAATCCCCCCGGCTGTCCCCTCCTGTCAGGAGCTGTGCAGAGCCACAAGGTCCCCCCTGAGCCTCCTTTTCTCCAGGCTGAGCCCCTTCCCAGCTCCCTCAGCCTCTGGGTTGGGCTGGGTATGGGCTGGGAAGTGCTTTGGGGTCAGAGGTGCCAGCACCCGGCCGGGCAGAGTTTTCCAGGTGATTCTGAGCCACAAACAAAAAGTTCCCATTTGTCCCGCTGGTGCTGGGGATTCCTGTGGAACTGTGGCTCCGTGGGGCATTCCACGGGGTGGGATTGTTGTTGTCCAGGTCCTGCACACACACAGAGCAGTGGGGCAGGGATGGTGTCCTCCTGCCTGCTGGCAGCCACTGCTGTCCCTTACCACCCCTTTCTCCAGGAGCCTGAAGGGGGATTACTGGGTTTTTTTTAATGGAAAGACCAGGAAAAGACTGGCTCTGCTTGGAGGGGTGGTTCTGGAGGAAGCGAGGCTGGGTGATGCCAAACAAGGGTCCTCCATGGAAATTTGGGCTCTTGATGCCTTGTGAAGGCTGCCCTAGAATAGAGGCTGGACAGAGCTAAAGAACCAAGCAGGGATTTTTTAAAAGGCCTCAATGGATCCACCTTGGGCAGCACAAGGGCCCAGCCAGGGCTGCACCCCAGGTGAACCCAAAATGGTCACAAAATCCCCGACCGCTCATGGGGGCTCTCACTTTGATCAGTTTGGCCCCATTTGCATATTGGAGTTAATTGTTCAATTACAGCTCCAGCCCATTAAGTTCCATCCTGATTGTTTTTCTCTCTTCATTCCACGTTGTTTGTGCTTTTGGGCCTGAGATTTGGATCATTTGTCCTTGGTCCCCAGCTAGAGAAGGAATTGTTTTGTCTCCCTGCTCTGTGCATAGAGCTCACCATGCCCTCATGTGAAGCCCAGACCCACACACTAAGGTAGAATGGAATCTGAAAAATATAAAAGCTAAAACCTGAGCCATCACCCTCCATGGAAATTTGGGTCCTCCATGGAATCCTTTAGTTTGGAAAGGCCCTCTGAGCTCCACACCTTTCCCTATTTCCATCTGCCTGGTCCCCTAGGGCAGAAGGACCTTCCCTTGGGAACTGGAGGTGAGAAAGTGAAATGCCAGAGATAAGGGAAGTGTGAAGGAAAAGGCGCCCAGCACTTGCCCTGCCCCTGCTCCTGCCAAGTGGGGCCGTTCATGGCTCAGGAATGTGTGGCATCCCGAGCTGCCCGGGGCAGCTGATTCCCAAGGGAACCTGGCCCGTGCCAGCCCAGTGCCAGGAGTGCCCAGGGCTGGGCTCCAAGGCTGTGCCATGGCTCTCCCGAGGCAGGAACCCGCCCAGCGAGGAGCAGGGAGGGGCTGGAGCTCTCCATGGGGATGGAATGGAGCTGCAGCTCTCCAAGTCCCTTCCCTTCCCTGCTGATGCCTCGGGGTAAAGAGGGAGGGCAGGCACCAGGGACATGACCCAGGAATGGCTGGAGCTGTGCCAGGGTGGATATCAGGGAAAGGTTCCTTGTCCAGAGGGTGCTGGGCACTGACCCGGCTCCCTAGGGGAAGGGCATGGAGCTCCAGGAATGTTTGGACACTCAGGGTGAGGTTGTTGGGGTGTCCTCTGTGGGACCAGGGGCTGGACTGGATGATCCTTGTGGATCCCATCCAACTTGGGATGCCCCATAACACCACAAGTAGCTTTAGGCTCTGCCTGAGCCAAGGTTCTTCTCCAGGGGGACTTTTGAGCTTCCTTTAACCAGGACAGGAACTTCCAGCACCTCCACATTTGACGAGGACAGACATGTGATGGTTGATGCCCTTAGAGGTCCTTTCCACACGTGACAATTCCCCAGTTCTGCAGGATTCCCAGCAGGCTGTGTACACACAGCGTGGCCCTGCCCAGCCCGGCCTCCCTGAGCTCCTTCCCGAGTGGCCCGGGGTGGATCTGTGGCTGTCCCCGTGCCTGGGTGACAGCCAGCTCAGCCATGTGCTGCCAGCACGGCACCCAGAGGTGCAAAGGCTCTCTGAATGAGCTGGAAGCTCCGTGATCCTTTCCCCGTAAAGGGCGTGGAAATCTCTTGGCTCCCACCCAGCTTTGTTCGGAGCCCTGAGGAGGCAGCAGGGCCAACTTTGGCCCATGGCACCGTGGTGACACAGTTCAGGGCTGGAAGCCTCGGCTCAGGGCGTGGGCTGAGCTCAGCTCCTGCTCCTGGAGTGCGCCCCGGGCTCTGCCAGGGAAGCCTGGTCCTTTTCCAGCTGCTCTCCGTGGGAATGAGGGCTTTGACACGTGGAGAACCACGCAGTGAAGGGCTGGAGCTCCACACGAGAGCTTTAGTGCTGGGATCTGCGACCGCAGTGAGCAGAACCTGAGTCACCCAGTGGCAGAGGATGAATTTCCTCGAGGATTGCTCCATCAGGAAGCAATCCTGAAGGATTGTTGGGCCTGGATCCAGTGGGATGCCCCAGCAGGCGGGAACCAGGAGGGGAAGGAGCCAGAGCCAGAGGTTCTGGTAGCTTGGAGGAGCCAGGCTTGTGAAAACAGCTCTGTAAAACCAGAACTAAGCCAAAGGCTAGTCCAGGGCTGAGTCACTACCCAGGTGCGGCAGGAAGGCAAGAGCTGCTCCCATTTCAGGCTCAGAACACACTGAATTAGTGGCAACATCACTTAGATTTCTAGGCCCAAATTATTCCCAATTAATTAAAGATACTGTCCTAGAATTACTCCGTTCATTAAAGAGACTGTCCCAGGATAAAACACTTCTCAGGCTGATGAGTTTAAAGGAGACAGAGCCAGCATGTCTGAGGTGGGCTGCAGATCCAACCTGACTGAGGTGTGATCCTGGCTGGATTCATCCCATTCCTATACTCCATCCTGCTGCTTGTGTGGCCAAAGCTTTGCACCCAAAGCTTGCTTCCCTCTATCAGGTTTGGTTTCTGTCCTACCTGCATCCCCTCCCACCTGCCCGGTGTTATCAGGGAGATAGGGAGGGGGGAAGTGGGGCAGAGGACGCTGATTCAGCCGTGGGGAGCCGGGCTGAGTCAGACCCGGAGCTAAATCACCTCAGCTCAGGTTCCTGAGCCGTCACCACTGGTGTCTCCATTTCCTGCTCGCTCAAATCCCCGCTGGACGATGGCCTCGCCCCGCTGGCTGCCAAGGTCACCTTTCCCAGCTCCCGTGTCCGTGTCTCTGCCGCAGGCACGCTCGGAGATGGACAAGTACCTGTCGGGCGAGGCACCGCCCGTGCCGATGCTCCCGGACAAGAAGTACCGCCGGGAGAGCGCCTCGGTGGTGGACGAGTTCTTCTCCACGGAGAAGCCCAGCTCGGCGCCCTACAGCGTGAACATCAACGTCATCCTGCCCGACACCACCCACCTGCGCACGGGGCTCTACCGGCCCCCCAAACCCATGGCCCCCTTCCCGCAGATCAAATCCGAGCCCGGCACCGGCTTCTCCCAGCCCTGCTCGTCCTCCTCCGGCCCCACGCAGACCCTGCCCGACTTCACCAGCGTGTTCAGCATGCCCCAGTCGGTGGCGGTCAACAACATCTTCATCAAGCAGGAGATGCCCGCGGAGATCCCGCTGTCCGCCCACCCGCAGCAGCCCCAGCTCTTCCAGCTGCCCCTGGGCGCCGCCAGCGCCGACATTCCCAGCCTGGCGTCCTCCTCCAGCAGCACCACGGCCATCAGCTGCCTCAGCGGGGTCACCATGTCCACGGGCTCCGTGGCCAGCGTGGCACACAGACCTGTGCAGCCAGCAGGGCCCCTCAAGCAGTACCCACACGTGGCCCAGGGACAGGGGAGCTTCGGGAACATCTCCGGGCAGTTCTACCCCACCCCGGGGGTGACTCTGCCCCCCTCGCCCCCCAACTCGCAGCCTGGCAGCCCCGAGAACCAGCCCGAGCTCATCAACACCATCTCTCCCCCGCCGTCCTACGAAGCCACTTTTGGACTGAAGCTGGTCCAGTCGTCCCAGATGCCCCCAGTGCCCAACGGCGTCGGGGGCCTCTCCCAGGGGCCCGTGGTGATGCAGCCCCCCAAGTACAACCGGCGCAACAACCCCGAGCTGGAGAAGAGGAGGATCCACCACTGTGACTACGCAGGTGTGCTCACGGGGGACTTGGGCGGTCTCTGAGGATGGGTAGGAGCCTCCAGGGAGGATAAACTGAGATCCTTTTGGGATGAAGCTGTGCATGGAGCCCCAGGGACGTAGGAGGGAATAGAAGGGGTTGATCCCACCAGCATGGTGTGGTTCCTGCTTTGTCCCCTTCCCTCTCCCTTTACACTCTGACAAAAGTGACTCAGCAAAGTTCCTAAACCAGGGAGGCTCCTGGGAATCTGCTCCTGGGAATCTGCTCCTGAGTTGTTGCTTTGCTCTGGTCTTTCCCAACCTCGAGCAGCCACTGAAGCCACTCTGCCATTCCCATTCCCCCTTCCTTTCCCTCTCTCTCACAGTGGGTGGAAAACCAGCAAGGAATTCCCACCAGGAGCCCGGCTGGACTCTCTCTGAGAGTTCTGATCTTCCAAAGAGGCAATGAACTGAACCCTGTGCCAGCCTTCCATGGCTCCATGTGCTGCAGCAGGAGCTGTGGAAGGGCAGTCATGGAATGGTTTGGGCTGGAAGGGACATTTAAAGGCCATCTCATCCCAATCCCACCTCCTGTCATGGACAGGGACACATTCCACTCTCCCAGTTTGCTCCAAGCCCTCAAGCTGGGGATTAGCCCAGAGCAGCTGTGGCTGCCCCTGGATTCCTGGAAGTGTCCAAGGCCAGGTTGGATGGGATTGGAGCAGCCTGGGATAGTGGAAGGTGTCCCTGCCCATGGCAGGGGGTGGAACTTGGATGAGCTTTCCTTCCAACCCAAACCAGTCTGGGATTCCATGGCACACACCAGGGAAGCAAATCCCATTGAGAGATCCCAGTGAGAGCCATGGGAGGGCTTGGAAGTGGCCACTCCCAGGGCCAGCGCACACCTCCCACTACCTGGGCCATCCCCAGGGCTGACCAGCTGTGGGTTAGCAAACAGTTTTCCCGTGGGGGTGTGGGAATGAGGAAAGTCACTTCCTAACTGCCTCAGGGAGATTTACTGACCCTTTCCCTGGCATGGGAGTGGCTGGAGGCCAGCCCAGAGGCTCTGCCTGCTCCAGATCCCGTCTCCAGCCGTGATGCCAGGAGCTGCATAGGAATAGGGCTCTATTTGCTTTCTGTGCTCACACCTTCCCACTCTCTGGCATCCTGTGGATCAGGGACTTTCTGAGCCAGAAGCTGCCAGTGGTTGACGGCTTGTGCTGAATTTTTTACCTTCTGCTGGTCGTGGTGAGGACATGAAAGTGCAATTAGACCTGAGACACACTCCTCGTGTCTGACTGCTCAGAGGCTCATCCGGTGCAGGATTTGCACCAAGACCAAGCTGGTTTTAGCAGGATTTTGGTCTGTGGTAAAAAAAAAAAAAAAAAAAAATATATATATATATATATATGTATATATATATATATATATATGCCCTAATCTGTGCTGAATAAATCCTGGGTCTGTACATGCAGAGATGGAGCAGGGGTCCATGTGATCCCTCCCTCAAAGGTTCAGCTGGAGTTGGCTCCAGTCAGGAATAATGATAAGGAATTCTCACCAACCTGCTCTCTGTGAGGAGGTGAGGGGGGCTTGGAGACTTCACACCTGGAACCAGATGAATATGGGAGACCTGCTGGTAAAGCCCCCATCCAGAACCTTCCAGGGCCTGAAGGGCTCCAGGAGAGCTGGAGAGGGCCTGGGGACAGGGGATGGAGGGACAGGACACAGGGAATGGTTCCACTGCCACAGGGCAGGGATGGATGGGACATTGGGAATTGGGAATTGTTCCCTGTAAGGATAGGCAGGCCCTGGCACAGCTGTGGCTGCCCCTGGATCCCTGGCAGTGCCCAAGGCCAGGCTGGACAGGGCTGGGAGCAGCCTGGGACAGTGGGAGGTGTCCCTGCCATGGCAGGGGTGGGATGGAAAGAGCTTTGAGCTCCCTTCCAACCCAAACCATGCCTTGATTCCATGATCTCTCTCCCAAATGTGAGGGGCTGCCAAAGCTTCAGAGCACCAGAAGCAAAACTGAACGGAGCCACCAGCCCTTGTCCCTCCTGCCAAGGAGGAAAAAAGCAGCTCCTGCCCCACCCGAGCAGGACAGGACCAAGGGCTGATCCAGGGCAGGAGGCTCCTCTGGGCTGGGTGGGAACACTGGGATAAAAACATCCCCAAGCTGCTTGTGCAGGTCATAGAAATTCAAATTCATATTTGAATGTCCTCATCAAAACACAAAGCAGCAGGGCCAGAAAGAGCAGCAGAAGCTTCCTTAAGCTTTATCCAACTTAAACTTCAGAGCAGTTAAACTGACTCCTTTCGAGATACCTTCTGTTGGAACTGTTCCCCTGTCATGGTGTTTCTGTTAAACCCTGTCTTTTGATGAAACCTGTTCTTGCTGGTCTTGTGAAAACACTTCCCCCTGGCTCTGCTCTGGGTCCTGGAAGCCAAGTTGTGATTGTCCCTGGCTGCTTCCTGCTTCCTGGAACATTGCTACCGCGTCTGCTGGGCCAGGACTGTTACAAAACCCAGCCTTGCAAAGTCATACCAGCTATGAGACAGGGCAGCACAGAGCCACAATCGTGGGGGAATAAAGTCTTTTCTTCCTGGTGGTGGAAGGGGGGTTTGAACCTCTGCTTGACTGTCCCCCTCCCTAATTCCTGGCACAATTGCCATGGGTGGCAGGAGGAGGTGTTAAAGTCTGTCTTAAGAGGAAACGCTGCTTAGTTAGTGCTGAGCCCAAGCCAGGCTTATTTACACGGCCCAGCTCTGTCCCTCCCCTCAAACAACAGTTTGTTTGAGCAAGGGCCCCTTTCTCACAGGGGAATTGTGCTTTTTTCTGTCCTTGCAGGTTGCTCAAAGGTTTACACCAAGAGCTCCCACCTGAAGGCACATCAGAGGACTCACACAGGTAAGAGCAGCTCCAGGAAATGCTGCCAGCCTCAGGTACCAACCCCCCCCAAAAAAGGGCAAGGTTAGATGGGATATTGGGAATTGGGAATTGTTCTCTGTGAGGGTGGGCAGGCCCTGGCACAGCTGGGGCTGCCCCTGGATCCCTGGCAGTGCCCAAGGCCAGGTTGGACACTGGGGCTGGGAGCAGCCTGGGATGTGGTGCAAGATGGGATTTAAGGTCCCTCCCAGCCTGATCTGTTCTTTGACTTCTTGTCACTCTGAGCTCTTCCCTTGAGATCTCCCAAGTCCTGCCCAGGGCTGATCCTGCTGATCCTACAGGAAGGCTGCTAAGGCCTGTGCTGCATTTTTAGGATCTCTGAGGAGACCAGGGCATCTCTTTTGTGTCAAACCCCACCCCAGGGCTCCCAGGGAGAGGGAGGAACCCCTCGTGTCCCCCTGAGTTCCACTCCCTCTGAACCCACACAGGGAAGGGCTCCCAGTCCATGAGGGGCTGGGCTGTGCCCCCATTCCTGAGGGTGCAGGCAGGGACCCCAGCTGGGAGCAGCCCCAGCACAGCTCCCCTGGGCTGGTCCCAGCTCCGTGACACTCTGCATTCAAGCCCCGGCGCCCTCATTAAGACATTTATTATACCTGAAACATTATCAGATCCCCAGGTAGTCCAGGAACCATCAGTGCCCTCATAAATCTCTTTTATAGGAGGGCTGATCTTTACTGAGAGCAATTAAGCCAGGCCCAGAGTTCACTTCTCTTTTTTATGAACAACGACCAAACCCTGTTCTGCGGCTGGGAATTGCTTCTTGCTCTTGGCTCCATTCCTTCCTCCCCTTATCAGCCCTTCAAACAAAGAATTTTGCTTTGTGCGTGAGCCATGATGTTTCTTTGGCAAGGGCTGGGGATGAGGGGGCTGGAAAACAGCACGGAAGGGCTGGAAAAAGGAACAGGAAGGATATTGTCCCAGAGCTGGGTGCTGATAGGGGTTTATCACAGTCTGGATCAGGGCTTTAAAATTAAATTAAATTAAATATCTCTTGTCCCTTCTGTTGGGAGCTCTGTGCCCAGGACAGGATCCATGAGTTGGGTGCCTCCTTACCTATCACACATAAAGATGTACCCAGGAAAACTTGGGAGGGTTTGAAATCCAGGAAAACTCAGTGTTTTTTCCAAGTTTCCCAGTAGTTATGCAGGAAATCCGAGTGGCTTTGCCTCCTTTCCTTCCCCTGCTCTTAGAGGGAAGGGTGGAGAGGTGGGGGAGGGTGTGAGCCGAGGAGTCAGGACAACTGGTGGTGGTGTGGGATGAGCAAAAAGCAGGGACTCCAATCCAGAGCCATCCTACAGTCCTGGCCCAGGATCTCTGCATCCAATGTTTTTAAGCCTCGTGGTTTGCTTTGGAGGCCTTAGCCTTGCTGAGGTACTCACCAGAGCTGCAAGAACAAGGGCTCACCCCAAATCCTACCTCAGCTCCACCACCCAAAGGGTTAAAAGTGTCCCTTCTCCCATTCCCTGCCTGAGAAGTCCGTGGTCTGGGAGCCTTTTCCTTGTGGTTTCCCGTTGCCATGGCCGGGTGTTTTCCTCTGCTGGAGCCACCATTCATTTCCTGGGTGCCATTGTGAGGTTAAACATAAAACCCCGGGCCGGGAATGCCACCTCGGATCCTTTGTTTGAGCCCGCCCTGCCGTGCTGTCCTGGGAGAGGCAGCCAGCTCCGGGGACAATGGGCAGCCCGGGACAATGGGAAACCTTGGGCTTCCGTCCTGGACATCGACCTGGCATTGTTTGAAAGCAAAGGGATCGCTGGGCTTGACCCAGCCAGGTGACCTGGAGGGGACAATGTCTGGGCTGCAGGGGACAAATCCTGCCTTTGGGAAAATCCTGCCTTTGGGAAAATCCTACCTTGGGGCAAATCCTGCCTTCAGGAAAATCCTATTTTGGGGCAAACTCTAATTTTGGGAAAATCTTGCCTTTGGGAAAAACCTGCCTTGGGACAAATCTTTCTTTTGGGAAAACCCTACCTTGGGGCAAATCCTCCTTTGGGAAAATCCTACCTTTTTTTTGGCATGTCCCAAGTCCCATAAAACTCCCACCAACTCCTTGTAAATCCTCTGCAAGCAGTGTGTTTACCTGCGCCATAAAAGTCCCTCTCCCTTTCCCATGGAGCAGCATCCAGAGGTTTTTGGAGGAGCAGGATGTGCTCGTGCTGCTCTGCCTCCTCCAGGTCCATGTATCCATGTTTTTGTGTTTTACCCACTGCAGGCAAGGCACTGGAGACCTTGCTGTGGCTGATGTCACTTCCCTGCCCACTCGTGGCATTCCCAGCCCTGGAATTATTCAAGGCCAGGTTGGAGAGGACTTGGATCTAGTGAAAGGTGGAGCACGGTCTAGTGGAACCTAGTCTGGGGAAAATGGGCTTTAAAGTCCCTTCCAAGAGAAGGCATTCCAGGATTCCCTGGCTCTGTGGAACAGCCTGTGGGTGGGAGGAAGGGCTCCCTGGGAGCACGGAGAGGAAGGAATCCCTAGAAGTTGATGATGGAATCCCTGGAAGTTGGTGGAAGCTGGTCTGGGCAGGGTGGAGCACGAAGCGCCTTGCGGTCCTTTCCAAGCTGAGCTCTTCCAGGATTCCCTGGTTCCATGGAGCAGCCTGTGGGAGGAAGGGCTCCCTGGAAGCATGGGAAGGTCTCCCTGGAAGGCTGGCGAGGAAGGAATCCCTGGAAGCACGGCAGGGCAGGGCACACATGCCCGTGCACGCGTGCTGCGTGCGGACGTGCGCTCTCGCCGCCGCCGCGCCCGGCACTTGGCCCCGGAAAGGGTAAATATTTGAGGTCGGGAATGTCAGCACATTCCCTGAACTTCTGCCTGCCTGTTCAGGCTGTTGAGAGCTGCACTAATATTTGAGAGCACCACGCCCTGCGTGGGGACAGGGCTGCAGGCAGGGCTCAGCCCCGTGGCCTGGCTGGAAGCGGCCGCGGGCTTTTCCAGCCCAGTTCCCAGCTGGCTGGGAAGCGCCTGGTGGAATGGATTTCGGTTGGAATGGGTGTGTTGGGGAGGGAGGGGGAGAGGGCACGGGGATGACATCACCTGAATGCACGGAGGGAAATACAATAGGTTGTGTACAGAGCTGCTGGCAGGGGAACTCGGAGGTGTGGAGCATTAGGTCATGGAATCCTGGAATGGTTTGGCTTTGGGAGGGGTCTTTCAAAGCTGTCTGATCCTTTAGGGACATCTTCCACTCGACCAGGTTGCTCCAAACCCCATCCAACCTGTCCTTGAGCACTTCCAGGGATTGGGCAGCCACCAACATTGGGTGACGGATTCAAAAAAACTTTAGATTTTTCAGATTAAAATTCAGATTTAAATCCTGTCTTCCTCCTGGTGCCTCGCACCACTCACAGCTTCCTTAGGAATTTTTGGCTTTTCATTAAAAAAAAAAAAAACAGCCTAATTCACAAGTTGTTTTTAGCCAGAAAGGTTCCAAAATCCAGCGGGAACTTGAAGGCAAAGTGGGAGGGGGTGCAGAGGGGCAGGACCTGGTTGGTGCAGCTCAGACCCTTGGCAGCGCTGGGGTGTGTGCCCTGGGGAGCCCTGGCAGTGCCAAGGAAATTGGGTGTTTCCCAGAGGCTGGGGGTGTTTTTGGGAGGATGGGGAGTGGGTGAAGAGGAACAAGACCTGTGTGGTGCAGCTCAAGCCACACTCCCCCAGCGGCTCTGGGCTGTGCACGCTGGGCAGCCCTGGCAGCGCCACTGATGGGGGGCACCTCCAGAGGCCAGGGGGGGTTTTTGGGGGGCTGGGCACGCGTGTGACCTGTGGCTGTCCCCTGGGCAGGTGAGAAGCCCTACAAGTGCACGTGGGAAGGCTGTGACTGGCGCTTCGCCCGCTCGGACGAGCTGACCCGGCACTACCGCAAGCACACGGGGGCCAAGCCCTTCAAGTGCCTGGCGTGCGGCCGCTGCTTCTCCCGCTCCGACCACCTGGCCCTGCACATGAAGAGGCACCAGAATTAGGAGCTGCCTCCCTTCCCACTTCTCCGAGAGCAGCTCCAACTCTTCCCCTGTCCCAGGGAAGAGCCTGTACATAGCAACGACCCCGCGCCGCCATCGGCGAGGCGGCAGGAGAGCCCTGCCAGCCCGGCCCCGGCGCTGTCAGGTTTTACGAGAGACTGGAACGCACCCAGCTCGCTTCAAACCAGCCCTGACTGCAGACTGATCTCCTGACCAGGCTCCTGGTGGCACTGGGGTGCTGGAGCTTGGATGACCGAGGGCTTTCTTCTGGCAATCCTGCTATTTATTTGTCACTCAGGAGCAACTTTGTGCCTCAAGGCCTTTTGGGATGGGTTTTGCCCCTTTGGTGAGGCCCAGGAGGATGTGGCAGCTTGGCTGTGACAGCTCTCACTTGGACTCTGTTGGACAGTCCCATGGCATCGCCATGGATGTGACACTGTGTGACCATGGACGTGGCACCTTGTCCCATGGTGTGACCATGGGTGTGGCACTGGTGCCATGGTGTGACCTGTCCCATGGCATGGCCGTGGATGTGACA